CAGGGGAGAAGACAAGAGTCTGCCTCGGATCACAGCAGGAACGTCAAGCAGAACAATTAACACCATTCAACTGATGTCTAAAGGAGTCTCCAGCACCTCCCCATGTGAGCCAGTCACATGTCTCGTACAGCCCAGGCGTCCTGGCACGTCACATCCTGCCATGACCCAAGGCCAAGTCAGCACCCATCACCAGCAGCCCCTTGAGCCCTGGAGCAATGGGAAAACCCCAAACCCTCTGCCATCAAGGGGCAGTGTGGTTGCCCTATGCACCCATCCCAGCCACCTCCTCCCCAGCCCAGTTGCTCGCGGGCAAAGCAGGGTGGCCATGCTGGTGCCGCGCAAGGAGAGCCTTACCATTCTCACCTCCGGGGAGGTGGATATAGGGAGGGAGCAGAGCCTTGCTGGCTGGCAACGATGGCTGTGGAGGAGAGACCTGCGGAGGAGAAGCAGTGTCAAGAGCGGGCAGCCCAGGACAGGCACCTGTGCTGGGGGAGCTGGAAAGCGCCAGACTTGGTCAAAGCAAAGCTCAGCGCAAGGGCTCACACTGCCCAAAGGTAGCTATGGCTCCTTCCTGGCTCCCACTGCTGGGCGCCGGGGTGAGGTTCAGCTCTCACCTGTTGCATAGGGCAGGTTGTACTGTGCTGGCAGCAGCGAATACCCGAGGTGGTGGTGGTGATGATGCGTTGAGAGTAGGCGCTGAGATGGCGAGGTGCGGGGCCGGTCGGCACTCCTTTCTCCCCCACCAGCTCCTCCAACACTGCTACAGCTCCCGTTGCCTCCCACCACCCCGCAGCCACTGCGGTCCCGCTCCTGAGACGTCTTCTCACTTATCTGCAGAAAGCAGACACATGCTGAGGGATGCTACATGCTACCCCGGGGCACAGGGCAGCATCAGACCCAAGCCAAGCACTCAAGGCTGCCCCATCGGGATATCTTCCCTGCCTTTGCCTAAAGACTTCCCACAACACTGCTGGAAGATGACAGGATGGCCAGTGACCAGCCCAAAAGCAGCAGGGCAGATGCAGGTCCCATTTCAAGCAGCTTCTTCCTGCCCAAAACCAGGGTTTGCTGCCAGTGTGTCATCCCAGCTCAGCCCAGGAGGAGCTCATGACCCTACACTGCCGTGGGATGGAGACAGCTCCTGCATCCCACCCACCAGCCCCAGGGCTGAGGACAAGTGTCACCCAGTCACTGCAGGGCCTGGAAAAGCCCCAGTGCTCCTATGGGCCAGCCCTGCCCACAGGTTTAGTGTGTCCATCCCAAAGGGGTTGTGCTGGGGGATTACTGCTTGGCCCCAGGTCTCCTACAGCAGCACGAATGGCAAGAAACCATGGGCAAGCAGAGTTGCTCCAGGCTGGTTATAGGATCCAGGGACCATCCTGAAGCTTGTGCATGGAGCTGGACAAAGCCAGCGCCTTCCTGACCCTCACCGTAGGGGATTTGCTCTTGTAGTGGCTGGCGTGCTGCTGCAGGATGTCCAGGGCCTTGGACTCCGAGCTGGATTTGCAACTCACATTGGGGCTGGCTCGGGACTTGTCGCTGTCATCACTGCTGGACGCCTTGCTCCCGTACGGGGAGAAGGAATAGCTGGAGGGTAGGTATGATCCTGGGGAGGAGAAAAGGCAATCAGGGCACAAGGAGTCTTCAGACAGCACAGCAGGAGCACACAGCTCTGCACGTGTGCCTCCAGGAGTGAGAGGATGTCCCACAGCCATTCCCTGTTCTGGGAGCAGGGACAGCCTGGGAAGGGACATCCCCAGGAACACCCTGGCTCCCTACCTGGGTAATTCTGCATCATGACGGTGGGCATGGCCCGGTAGCTGGGGTGGTTGGGGTCGTACGACTGGCTGTAGGAATAGCCATGCATGTAGGGAATGTAGGACTGATGCTGCGTGAGGGGTGAAGACACAGGGACGTGGACGCTGGGTCTGGGGTCCTTCCCCACCATGCGAGCCTCCTCGGTGGGGGTCAGTTTGCACTCAGAGCTGGTGCTCTCCTTCCCGTCCTCCTTGGACACGGCTTCTTTGCTTCGATTTCTTTCTTCCTTCAACTTTCGGTCCCTCTCCTCTTTCCACCGCTCATCCTCTGTCTTGATGTCCGAGTACTTCGCTGGGTACACGTAAGTCCACATCCGGGGCTCAGCTTCCTGCAAGAACCAGCCAACCATCAGAGCAGCTGCCTCCGCCCAGTCCTGCCTGTCCCAAAACCAGGCTGGATTTGGAGGAGACCAGTGAACCCCACTCCCCTTCCCCAGGCTCTCCTTGGCCCATCCATGGCCTCCCAGCCCCGTCCTTTTGCTGGCCCCAAGGGAGCCTCATGGAGTCCCATCACAAGCAGAGGACAATGTGTGTTCTCCGAGGTGATGGCTCCAGCAAACCCCTGCAGCAAAGCCATGGCAAGGAGCTTCCTCCAGGAGAAAGCCCACTGCCAGGCTGGCAGGCAGGGCTGGGTGAGCAGCAGGTGGGCATTACCTGTCTGTACCAGAGCACAGGGTCCACCTCTGCTTGCCGACCACACTCGGAGCCAGCCTTCGTCTCGGTGGTCTCCTTCCCGAGGTGGCTGGCCTCGCTCAATTTCACCTTGAGCCCCTCGGTGACCTGGCTGCTGGACAGCTTGGATGAGTCCTCCAGCTTGGGGATGATGACGGATTTGGCCATGTCAGGACCTCCCTGCTCCTTGGCCTTGCTCAGCCCCGACTTGACGAGGTCTGTGAGGCTTGGTGCCTTGGTGAGCGTCGGGGGCATGGGTGGTTTTTGCTTCCACTCCTCTTTGAGCGCTGCCTCCCTCTCCTTCAAGCCCAGCTCCGCTTTCTTCTCCAGCCCTCGCTGCTGCTGCTGCTCCAGACTCTGCCGCTGCTTCTGCTGCTCCTCATACTGCTGGCGGTAGGCAGGGTTGGTGCTCAGCAGGTGAGTGTGGTAGCCCTGCTCATTGTAGCCATAGGGGGGCACGTAGGCATACTGGTTGTAGTAGAGGGACTGCATGTACATGTTGGGACGCTGCTGGATGACTGAGGGCTGCTGGCTGGAGCCGCCAAGCTCTGCCTTCTTCTCTTCACAGCCTTCACTCTTCACTTTCACCTCTGGGTTCTCCTGCTCCTCATCCTTCTTTAGCTTCAAGGCCTGTGTCTCAGCCACAGCCTGGCTGCCAGGGTTCAAGGGCCCCGGGCTTGCCTGGGGGTAGCCGGGGGAATAGTAGGTTTCAAAGCCTTGGTAATAGGGAGACTCTTTGCTTTGCGGTTGCGGGGGGAAAAGAGCTTTTTTGGCGCCTTCCTTGACCAGCTGCTCTGGGTCCTTTGCCTTCACGCTCTCCAGCTTGCCCTCCCCATCCTCCCCAGCATCAGAGATGTCTGAGTAGGCCGGGCTGTTGGTCTTGACCGAGCTAGCCTCTGCCCCATTCTGGGTGACGACGTGCAGAGGGGTCATGGGTTGGGCTGAGCTGGTGTTCTCCAGCCTGCTGGCACCACCAATTGAGGGGCTCGGGGCATTGTCGGTGAAGCTATAGATTTTATCTGCCTCGGCCTTGATGCTGGCAAGCCGGCTCTGGTGGGGGTCCGATGAGCCGTTCAGGAGCCCCTCGCCTTTTGTCCCCAGGTCGCTGGGTTCCCCCCGGAAAGGGCTCTTGCCTTCCTCCACTCTGCAGGCTTTGCCAGGAGTCAGAGGGTTTTCTACCTCCTTGGGCTCCTTCTTCTTCTTGTCCTTCTTCTTCTTCTCCTTGGAAGGGGTGGTGAGGGCAGGGTTGGCTGTGAATGGCTCTCCCATCACCGTAGGCTTGGGCTGGATGGGTTTGAGCTGAGGGCTGTTGGGCATGGTCTGGACCACAGTGGTGGCAAGGCCCGTGGACGAACCGGGGCTGGCTGTGGTGAGGGTGGCTGTCTGAAAGGTGTAAATCGGCTGCGGAGGAATGGCTGGCGCAATGGGTCTGGCGGACTTCAAGCTTTTGGAAGGGATCTTCTCCGGCTTAGCACCAGATGCCTTCTTAGACTTGTCCTTATCAACACATCGCTTCTCCAGAGAGTCAAAGCCGTCATTACTCGTTTCATCGGCCACCAAGGGACCATCCTCAGAGCCATCATTGGACAGGGCACCCGGGTCAGTGTCTCCTTCCCCACCCATCTTCTTCTTGCAGGGGACCTTGGCACTGAACTTGCTAGACGGGGAGGGACTGTGGGGCTCCATCAAGCGCACCTTGGGGGTGGCCGAGCGAGCTGGCGAGAGCGAGCCCTTCTGAGAAACAGCAGCGCCGTTGCAGCTCCCAATGTCTGCATGCAGGGAGGGCTCCTCGCCGTACTCGCTGTCCACGTCCGCCTCCAGCTTGCTGTCGTCGTCTGTGTGCGCGTGGGCCTGGTGGTACTTCAGCCCATTGATGTGCTTGTACTTCTTGTTACAGTTTGGGTGGGGACAGTCGATGAGGATGGGAGAAGGGCAGTTTCGGTCGAGGACAGCCGGCTCCATCTTGACTGTGGCGGGTGGCACAGCTGCTGAGCCCATCGAGTTCGTGCGGATGCGTTTGCTGCCCTTGGAGTCCTCCGAGCTGGAGTTCAGCTCCATATCAGAGAGGGGTTTGCTCTTCCGCTTGGTGACAGAGGAGGGACTGGCCTTCACATCCTCCGCTGTGCTGCCGGGCGGCGTGCGGTGGTCTGAGGAGTTCTGGCTTCCTCGGCGCCCTTTGCTGTTGGCTCCTGCCCGGGTCTTGCTGCTGTTGCTGGTCCCTTTGCTGTCCGAGGCGGCAGCGGTCTCGTTGATGGGTGTGTTGCTGTTGGGGCGCATGCGTTTGCCCCTGCCCCGGCCATTGCGCATCTCCAGGTCACTAGTGGGAGAGTCACAAAACCTGAGGGGAGGAGGACAAGGAGTTTTTAATAGAGAGATGGCTGTGCTGGGCTACACCATCCCTGCTGCACAGTGGGGACCCCCTTCCTCCCCTCACTGTCAATCCCACAGGCTTGTCCCCGAGGAATTGGCAAGAGAGGTCCATTGGCAAATGCTCAACCATCTCCAGTCTCCAGGACAAGGGAGCCTGTGACTGGAGGGGCAAAGAGCCATGGGAGCAGCTTGGTTGGGCAAGGAGGAGATGCTACCCCCCATGGCAGCCTCATGGGCACAGGGCAGAGTGTACCGGGTACCATGGGGGCCATATGTGGCTTGGGTTTGCCCTCTGCACCTGGGTGAAGGGGGCTGAGACAGCACTGCTGGACTCCACCAGCTGCTTACCGGGGAGGCGCCCAGTCATGCTGCGTGCAGTCAAGCAGTGTCCCCACGTACGTCTTGTTCCTCCATGTGACATTGACCACCAGCATACCTGTAAGGCGAGGGGAGAGGGTCAGATGGGGCCAGGTGTGACCCCACAGTGTCTCACCCTTCCCTGGACATCAGGGCAACAGGGATCTACCCCTCGAGATAGGCAGGTGGAAGAGCTCAGCTCTAGGGCCAGAGGAAGACGGACAAGGGATCCTGGGCTCTCAGGAGAGGTGAGACCTGGGGCTCTGGGCTGGAGGGGCACCAAGATGGGAACTGGAGACCCCCAGCTCATCCACTCTCTCAGCACGGCTCTGGATGGCATCCACCCAACCTCTCCTCCTTGAGACACTCAGCACTCTTCCCTATTCTCATGGGGATGCTAAAACCAGTGACCGCCAAAGGGCTGCAGAATCTGGGGGGGCCTGAAGATCCACATTGGCTCCATGTGCGCTCAGATAGGGTAGGGAAGGCGATCTCTAGGCAGTGAGGGCTGGAAAGCCCCCAGGGGAGATGCAGACAGCCCCCAGCAAGGCTGTGGACCCCAATGAGGAGCTGCAGACCCCCCCAGCAGGGCTATGGCCCCCTGTGCATGGCCATGAACCCCATGGCACTCCAGAAAAGGCTGTTATTGCCACTAGATGGCAAGCTGAGCCCAGCATCCCTGCACAGATGACCACCCCTGGAAGGAAAACCCAACCTTGGGGGAACAACCCACTTCGCTTTGCTCCTGCACCCTGCATGACACCCATCAGCCCCGTATCTCTGCCTGAAGAACCATCCACGGGGCCGCATCTCCTCCCACCATGGAGCAAAGGCATCAGGCATATGGAAAACCTGGTGGTTTCAGCTTTTTCACACCAATTCAAGAAGAGAAGCAGCCTGGCTCACACCTGCGCTGAGGACATGGATCCTCAGCATCTCTTCTTGGAGATGGGGGAGTCTTTCACAGCATCACTCAGCTTTGTGGATATTTCCTCCTCGCCAGGGACTGCTCTGATTACTGCAGAACTAATTTGACCAGGAGTGGAGTCTGTTGCACTGAGCACATTTATCTAAGCAAGGTAAAACTCAGGAGATAGGAAACTCATTTGCGAGGCTTGATGAGCGTGGCAAGATATACAGCTGCGCAGCCCTGAGAGATGGATGGAGCCAAGGGAGCCCAGAGCAGCTGTGCCTGAAGCACGTTTATAAATCTCAGCCCATATCCCCCGTTGTGCTGTGCCAGCAGCCAGCTGCAGGCTTCAGGGGGGGATGATATATGAAGCTGAGGTCTGACACGTGGCTCTCCTTCGGAAAGAGAAATGAAATGCAGGTCTCCTCTTTCCCCTTCTCCTCCTGGAAAATGTTGGGTGCTCCGGTGGGAGAAGGTCATGGGAAGACACGGTGTTGGCACATGGCCAAGACCTACAGCTGGCTCATCCCAGTGAGCAGGAGAGGCTGGGTCCTGCCTTTGGAGGAAGGTGCTGAGGACCTGCCTTAACATGGATGTGGCCAGGACACAATGCTGGAGACAACATGGGGTAGAAACGAGCGGCAAAACCCACAGCTGCTGGCAGGAAGAGAGGGGGATGCTGATCCCAGGCATCCCATGGAGGGTGTGCAGAGGGTGGTCTTCACCCCCCATGCCTCCTAACATGGCTTTTATTGGCAAGCAGGAACCTGTACCCACTTTCCTTAAAACCCAGGGAAGCTGCCACCTGTGTCCTGTGCCCCAGCCCAAACCCACCATCCCCAGGATGCCTCCGTGGAGCCACCGTGGGATGCTCCCAGGAGCTGCAGAAGGACCAAGTGGCAGCTGAGGGACCAGCAGCCCCAAACCAGAGCCCATCCCAGGGATGAGCTCATCCCTCCTGGCCACAGGGCTCAGAGGAGCAGCTCCCTCTGCCCTCCTGGCAGAGATCACGCACCACTGGAAGTTAGTTGCATGACAAGCCACTGGAGGTTCTGGCATTTTTTTTTTTTTCCCTGCCATCGCAATCACTGGAGAGAGATGAAAGACGAAGGGGTGAAGCAAGCTGACACACCAGCCTATATTTAACCCACTGCAACCAATCATACCAAATCCCCTCCTAATCCTCCAACAATAACCCAGGACAATTTAAACCCCAGGGATAGATCCTAAGCAGCTTTTTTCACCCGCTGTGTCCCCCTCCCATGGCAGGATGATGAGCAGGCACAGGCAGGACAAGGGTGGGCAGTGAGGAGGCAATGCCCTCACGTCCCCAAGGCTGGAGATGCTCATGCACAAAGAGCTGGCAGCAATGCTCTTGCAGTGAAGGAATTCCCTGGTTTCATGAGAAGGTGATACCTTGGATGCTCTTAAGCAATCGATACCACCCAAATCTGAGTGCAAACCGCTCAGCATCCCAGTCATAGAGTGCTCATGTCACTGCAGAGTCATACCCCAGCAGGAAATACTAACAGCAGGTTGACAGTGCCAGGTTGCTGTCTAGGAAGACAGCGTACGAGATTATCCATTTTTACAGGATTAAGAGATGAAGGGAGCTGGGGGATGCAAAAAAGCACCACCTGGTCCTTGTATGGTCCCCACATGGGTGCTCTGTAGCAGTGGAGCTGAGGCTTGGTGGGTGCACCCAGCTGGTGGGGATGTGGGGTGGACAAGGACAATGCTGCATTAAGTCCTCTGTCCCAGTGCAGCCCTAAATTAGACCAGACTAAGCCTTTCCGCTGGATAGTCCCTGCTGGGGCGCAGCTCTTCCCCATTAAAACGTAGGTGGTGGTGTCTGCTTGCAGACTGGGGCTGTGGACAACCAGGAGCCATCACACATCAGGGGGAAATGTGATCCAGGTCACCCCAAGCGCATGTTTACCCCCTTTGCAAAGATGAAGCCCCCAAGCCCAACCAAGAACATCTCCAAACCCTGCTGAGAAACCAGGGTGCCAGCACCTGTGGCAAGCAGGGATGCTCTCGGTTTGACACACAGCCAGTTCATCACGTGGATCAACATCACCCAGCCATGATACTATTGAGCTGTCTCCAGCAAGACCAGGTCCTCAAGCATTGTGGGGACTGCTAGGCTGCTTGGAGGAGCATCCCCAGCCTTGAGGGGAGCAAGGAGATGTTGCCTCTCCAGCTGGCCTGACCCGTAGTGCTTTAGGACACAACACCCAGAACTGCTGCATGGTCATCATGCAACAGCTCCGCTGCTGCAGAGCCATCATACAACAGCTCCGCTGCTGCTGCTGCCAGAAGAGCAGAGGAGACCACGGGGCAGCAGATGGCCAGCACAAGGGCCACCTTGCCCAGTGAGGAGAGTGATCACTCAGCAATTACCATCACAGGCAAAACAGACTGACTGGGAAAGTTAATTTAATTTATTGCCAATCAAATCAGAGTAGGATAATGAGAAATAAAAACCAAATCTTAAAACACCTCCCCCCCACACCCCTCCCTTCTTCCCAGGCTCAACTTCACTCCCGAATTGTCCACTTTCTCTCCTCAAGCAGCACAGGGGGACAGAGAAATGGGGGTTGTGGTCACTTCATCACACGTTGTCTCTGCCACTCTTCCCCTGCTCCAGTGTGGGGTCCCACCCACAGGAGACAGTCCTCCATCAATTTCTCCAATGAGAGTCCTTTCCACGGTCTGCAGTTCTTCATGAACTGCTCCAGCATGGGTCCCCCACAGGGCCACAAGTCCTGCCAGAAAACCCGCTCCAGCGTGGGCTCCTCTCCACAGGCCGCAGCTCCTGCCAGAAGCCTGCTCCAGTGCAGGCTCTCCTGCACAACTTCCTTCAGGGCACATCAGCCTCCTCCGGCATGGGGTCCTCCACGGGCTGCAGGTGGATGGATATCTGCTCCACCATGGACCTCCATGGGCTCCAGGAGGACAGCCTGCCTCACTGTGGTCTTCACCACAGGCTGCAGGGGAATCTCTGCTCCAGCGCCTGGAGCACCTCCTCCCCCTCCTTCTTCATTGACCTTGGTGTCTGCAGAGCTGTGTCTCTCACATCTTCTCACTCCTCTCTCCCAGCTACTGTTGCACTGCAGTTTTTTACCCCTCCTTAAAGATGTTATCACAGAGGTGCTACCACTGTCGCTGATGGACTCAGCCTTGGCCAGATGCAGGTCCGTCTTGGAGCCGGCTCTGTCCGACATGAAGGAATCTTCTCACAGAAGCCACCGCTGCAGCCCTCTCCTACCAAAACCTTGCCGTGCAAAGCCAATACAGTCTCCCAGGCAGGGTCAGATGGAGATAGGATCTTTCCATTAAACATGCAGGGATGGATGCTTGGATGGTGGATTACTGTCACTGGCTGTCTAACACCCTGCTTTCCAAGGGACAGAATGGCTACAAGAGGAGCCTTGGATGCTGGAGAATGGAAAAAGCAGCAGAAAAACCTTCAGCTTAGGTCACACCAAGGGACAAGGAGCCAGCAAGGGTGTGTTTGCGGGTCCCAGTGACCTAAGTGACTGTAGGAAGTCACACCACTTGCCACTGATCCCATGGGATGGGCATTTAGTTCTCCAGGACCTGGTGAACACACACAACACCCACTGCCCCACTTCTGCCCAAACCCCACAAGTGTCCACCTTTGGTAACAGGGATGATGTGACTATGAGCGAGGTCCTGACATCGTCCTGCAAGAGGATGGCCCGTCCCACTGCAACTCACACTGGCCAGCACCTGTGTGGGACTCGGGGACCACAGCTCCCTCTCCATGGTCTGAAGCCCATCTAGAAGATGCCTCCAGGATTTTGGGGACCTTGGTGCCTCTCAAGGCTTGGCAGCGCAGGCAGAGCACAGCCATGGCACCAAGTCTCCAGGGCCACCTGCGAGCTGCCCAGACCTCCATCCTCATGCTCCTGGAGAAAGGAGGCAGAGGAATCTAAACCAATTTAGCTCGTAGGAAAGTGTGGCAGAGCAGCTTGCAGCTTGAGAGCCTCCCTTGTAAACAAGCCCTTTAATCCAGCGCTCAGCAGGTAAAGCAGGAGCCCCAGCTGGTATTACCTGGGGCGGCTACAGACATGCCTTAGGGAGATGGACACGAGCAATAGTCTTGTCTGAAGCAAGATATTGCTCACCTGTTGATAAAACAG